GAGGGGCCCTCGGCGGGTACTTTTTGGTTGCCCTCGTTGATGTTGGACTCGATCATGACACCGATAATCGACTTCTCGCCCTCTTTCAGCTGGTCTCCGATAACCTTGGCCACCTTGGGCTGGTTGCGGTGGTCCTTGTTCGAGTTACCTAGCTTGAAATTAGCACAGAGCCTGTAAAGTAACCTGAGCTAGGTGGTTTATCTGCTACCACACGTCACACTTTCAAAACGAAGAATCGAGAGAGAGAGCTTACCGTGTGAGCAGTCGATCATGATGGCCTGCTTTTGGCCCTTTTTCGTCAATGTCTCCTTTGCCCCTGCAACGCTCTCCTTATCGAAGTTGGTGCCCTTGGTGCCACCTCTCAAGATGACGAACCCGTGAGGGTTGCCGGTAGTTCTTGTGATGGCAGCCAGTCCCTGCTTTGTGACACCCATGAAGTGATGCTTGGCGGCCGCCGAGCCAATAGCGTCAATGGCCACTCCCAAGCTTCCGTCGGTACCGTTCTTGAAACCAATGGGGTACGACAGGCCCGAGGCAAGCTCCCGGTGAAGCTGAGACTCGGTCGTGCGCGCACCGATAGCGCCGACAGAGATGAAGTCGGCAAGGAACTGGGGTGAGATGGTATCCAGCATCTCACTGGCAATCGGCATACCAGCATTGGTGAGATCGCTGAACAACTGGCGAGAGATACGAAGACCCTTGTTGATCTTGAAAGTGTCGTCGATGTCGGGGTCGTTGATCAGACCCTTCCAGCCGACTGTGGTACGGGGCTTCTCGAGATAGGCGCGCATAATAATGCAAAGGTCGCCAGACAGCTTCTCGGATAACTCTTTGAGACGGCCACAGTACTCCTGAGCTGTAGCAGGGTCGTGCATAGAGCAAGGACCAACGACAACCAACAGTCTATCACTTTTGCCCATGATGATGGAGACGGCATCACGACGTCCCTTGACGACTGTTTGCAAAGAGGCATCGGTCATGGGGATCTCATCGATGAGCAGGGCAGGCGGGATCAAGGCATCCTGGCCCAGGACTGAGATGTCGGTATATATTAGCATGATGGCACTACCACTTTCACATAAATCGAGGTGAAAGACAATGACGAGCGGACTATGAGACCGTGACACAAAGTCAAATATATCAAATCATGTAGGTGATGAATCTCCCACGATTTCATGACAAGATCCGAACGTGCTCAAAATGCATGGATTGTGATTATCCTTTTGCAGCAGGCGCGACAGAGGAGTCTTGCCATATTGAACAAACAGAATAAAAGCTTGTCAAGCATAGATACAAGTGAGAAGATGCGAGGATTCTCGGCCACGTACCTCTTAAGTTGTCGGCCTTGAGCGGCGCCATGTCGACTCCCGGCATATTGATGCACTTGTACGGCTTGCAAGTATGGGTTGATGCAGAATGATGGAAATCTCTTTTGTTTGTGTGTCGAAGCGACTGGTTCAACTCGATAACTCGGGAAGCTGAGCAATCAGATTCGGACGTCGTTGTCTGGGTGGGAAAACTCAATTCGGGAACGTTTGTCTCGAGAAAGAATCGAAAGAGGGTGACGTAGTGGCACAACGGTGGGGAGGTGCTAAGAAGAATTGAGTCGTTTGATCTCCCGTCAAAGGCCAGGAAGGGTATCTAGAGGCAAGCAAACAACACGATCAGATCAACGGTCGGAAAGGGTTGATCAATTGGGACGAAAGGATGTATTGTGAGTCAGTCGAGAAAGACTCAGGATCATTTGTTCGAGGAAAAAAAGCATAGTAACCCTACATGTACCTACCTAGGTTCAAGCGCCGAGACCCAAGTTCCAATGCAGGTTACTCCAAGGGTCCGGCCTGTCAGGTTTTGACCTCGGTGCCCCGTTCAAGCAGAGGTGAGCCTGCGGGTCGTGGCGAGTACGACTTATGAGGGCACTTCTGTCGTACGACGAGATACTATTAAGAACATACAACTGATATCACTGAGCTATTCTAACGAACATACGTCGTGTGTTGTGTGTCCAGTGTTTAAAGAATTGAGCTCTCTTCGAGAAAATTGTTTTTACTTTGTGACTCCCAACTAATGCCGGTGACGGAGGGGTCTTTTTGGAGGGGCTTTGGAGGGGCACTCTGCAGCTTCTGAGAGGCCGTCTCCACTGCCAATGGCAATGCGACACGGGATCACGCGCCTCAGAATGAAGCCATAGCGCCAACGTGGTCGTCAGCGTGATAGTAGTATCATCGCCCGCATTCAAGGGAAGCCCTACCTCACTTCATGCACAGTCCATCCCTCTACCTCACAATGCCTTAGTCAGGTCAATCTGTAGAAGGGGAGACTTCTCCAGACTCACCGCCCTTCTTGCTAGCTGCATGGTGACTGAGGGTGATAGCATCTTCCCCGTATGGCGATTGCCTGGATGTGAGCACTCTCAGCTTACAGATGCATTCGAACTGATTTGCTAGCATTATGACGCTTATGTAGGCCATACATGATGCAGATCTATGGATGCCTTGGCTGTAGCGTTCTGAGATCTGACCCTTTTCTGTACGCGTCCTACCCGGCAACGTTTTCCTGTCCTTTCGTCCGTAATTGTTGTGACAAAGGCAGGCACGTTGGTGAGCAAAGATGCTGGAATAAATGATGACTAAGTCTAATCGTGATTATTCTCATTTGAGGGTCCCTTTCTAGAAGCTGTAATATGGTGTGTGGATGATGTACTTTGGGTGCTATCTAGTCTGGTCGAACATGTCAAGTGGTTATTGCAAGTATAGCTCTGAAGATGTCGCCGTTAGATATTCAGACCCGTCAGCCTGTTTCAGACTGGGAGAAGGCGAGGTAGACATCTTAATTGGAACTCTCGCTCTGTAAACCCCTCTATATGCTGCACCTCGTCGAACAAAAATTTCGGTACTGACGCCGGCAGCAAAGAATGACAGCTTATTCCTCTGGTCCAGCTACAGCCTACGGCTAAATATGTCCCCAAAGTCGCGGACACGACTCCAATATGTCGACGGAACATGCACGTCCGCCGTGGAGGCGTTCGGCCATCGATGAGCGACCTGCTTGCTGGATGCAATAAATACTCCAAGAGCTGTCACAATGGCCAGCAAATAGTCGTCTTGGCACCTCGCACCCCAGTAATTCTTTCAGTCGCATGATAAAGGGCGAGATATCGAAATCATGAGGCTCAGATCTTTGTCTGCAGCAGCTTATTTGCTGTGGTCTGCCTGCGTGGCCGGCCACCCGACAGGCTTTGAGTATTTGGGGAAGAGGCAGGATGCTGACAACTATTGGGTGGCGACCTGGACTTCAATGCCTCAGCTCGTCGAGCAAAGCAACTTGCCGCCATCCCCTTTTGTATGAGAGCTCAACTCTACTTACACCTAAGTCAAGGTGAATACTGAACAATATGAATAGACTGGTTCTAGTGTCTTCAAAGATGCTACGCTTCGACAGACGCTTCATATGTCCATCGGGGCCGACAGGATACGCATTCAGATATCCAACACATTCGGTGGTAGTGATCTGCCTATCACCGCTGCGTCTATAGCATTACCAACCGGGGGCAAGGCAGGAGCCAATGGAATCGACACGACGACGCTCAAGGCTTTAACATTCAATGGCTCAAGTTCAGTTACTGTACCGAAAGGCCAAGTTTTGTACACGGATGCTATTGACTTCGAAATCGCACCGCAATCCATGATCACGGTGACCGTATACTCGCAAGCAGGACAGTCTGGGACTAGCATCACGGGACACCCTGGAAGTCGAACGACATCCTGGATGCAATCAGGAAACCATCTCAATGACTCGACCGTTACGGGAGCCAGCGTGGCGCACTGGTACTTCTTGACCGCAGTGGAGGCATGGGCGCCAAAGACATCGTCAGCCTTGGTGATTCTTGGAGACAGTATATCCGATGGCCGTGGAAGCGACGATAATGGGAATAATCGGTAAGCACTTGCTGCTCGGCACGGCCTATTCGATATGGGCCTGAAAACAAGCTGACTTATGCTTTTATCAGCTGGCCGGACCTACTTCTTGCCAGGATGCAAACGGAAGGCATCACGAATATTGCCGTGGTCAATCAGGCAGCTGGTGGTAATGCAGTGCTCACAGCGTCGAATGGACTTGGGCCAGCCCTTTTGGATCGTTATAAGCGAGATCTCCTGCAGGTTGCTGGGGCGAAGTATGCCTTGATTTTCGAGGGCGTGAATGACATCGGGGTGTCGTCGGCAGACTCGAGTACACAAACGCGTATCGGAAGCCAGCTCGAGGCGGCATTCAAACAGATCTCGACAGATGCCAAAGCAGCGGGAATTACCATGCTCGGGGCGACTATCACGCCATTTGGAGGCTCAGGACAGGCGTACAGTAACACAGTCCGCGATTCGAACCGACAAACAGTAAACACGTGGATTCTGGCCGGTGGTGACGGTTCTTACGATGCCACGATTGACTTCGCCAAGATCGTGGCCAACCCTTCGAACACAGCACAGTTGGCAACACAATATGATGGTGGCGATCACCTGCATCCAAATGTTGCCGGATACCAGGCCATTGCAGACCAATTCCCTCTAGATGTCTTCCAGGGCAGTGGCAAAAACGTGTCAAGGGCGCTCCACGGTTTGAAGCAATTGCAAAACAACCCGAGATTATGGTAACTGCCCGAATAGGTGGTATGGTCGTGGACTCGCGGTTCCTCGTGACCCTGAATTCCTTCCATGTTATGGTACCAAATCAGGATATTCAGTCCATGCAGTTGTATTTCAAAGCATAAAATGATGCAGTGTCCAGTGTACCAACCCTAGTATTTGGATAGATGAGGAAGTCTTTCGTGTCTTTTGATAGACGCTACCTATTTTCTGAAGACTGCCGAGCTGCATGTTCTGAGAAGGAAACAAAGAATAGACACACCATGTGCAAAAGAACCAGCAAACATGAGCTCCAGGAAACAAAAGGGAAAATGAGAAAAAGTTGGTTGTTCTCAGTTTGCTGAGATGCATTAGGAATTGAGCCCAATGCGGGGGTCGAACCCGCAACCTTGAGATTAAGAGTCTCACGCTCTACCGATTGAGCTAACCGGGCGACCGGCTTGGCTGTTGAAGTGCGGTGACTTTATCGGGTATTATGTAGATGAAAATTTCGCGCCAGAGGGAGGGGACCAAACGCAACCGTGGGAACCTCACAGATTTCACGCAGTCCGGTAGCCACCGTGACTCATACCTAGTACCTGTGTACCTTCGATGTCCGACTCAAGGAAACCCAGGTATCCCATAATGCGAGGTAGGAATAAGGAAGGGTACAAACTCATGATTGCGTCAAACACCAGACATTGTATATGTGAATCCGGTATTTCACTCCGATCCGTCCTTCTCATGTCCAGCCGTCGCAACCTCCAAAATCTCCTTCTCCAGTCCTCGAACATGCACGACCGTGATACCCGTGTCCTGCAGCTTGGACTTGCTCGAGTTCCCGCTGACAAAGGTCTCTGGCTCTTGAATTCCAACATATACTGTCTTGACACATTTGCTGACGGCTAGAATTCTTTCGACGCAAGGCATGTTGCTGCTTAGTCTCTTGGAGCATGGCTCCACCGTCGTATACAATGCGACGTCTGGCAGTTTCTGGTCAAGCTCTGTCGCTGGGACTCCGTGCTGCTGAGCTAGCTTTTCGAGACAGCATTGCTCTGCGTGTGTATTCCCTGGTAGCTCGAGTGTGTATCCCGTCGCCAGAATCTTGTTCACTTTGATATCTACTATGACCGCTCCCACTCGATAATTTGTTGGTTTTGGGGGAGACTTGGTCGCGAGTGAAAGCGCTAATTTCATGTAGCTGTTGTGATCGCCTGCCTCAATCGTAGGTGTTTCGGAGCTTGTGGCGTACATTGTAACTGATAGTACACCATTGATCGGCTTGATCGTATGAATGAGCAGGTCTAAAATTATTTCAACGAAAATGCAAGGGCAGAGCACTGCATCCCACTTTGACCTCATATGTGACGTTTTGCGCATTCCAGGTGTCGGAGAATGCCCCGCGGCGACTGCCCCGCGATGCGTTTCTAGTACAGTACCTATCTAAGACGACCCCTGCCAACAATTAATGCGACTTTGCATTGAACGCGTCTGGCGCGTCGCCCAATTAATCCTCAGCACTCAAGCTTCTAAACTCATCCACTTCACACATCATCTCGGCGATCGAGACTCCGCTTGTTCGCAGACAGAGAACCTGGCCTGGATCTAGACGAGAATCATCATGGATGCGTCTGATGACCTTCTCGAGGGCGAGCCACCCACCATCGACCCGTATGAGGTTCTAGACTTAGAGCGAACTGCCACGGCAGATCAAGTGAAGTCTGCTTATCGCAAGCTTGCTCTAAAGAATCATCCAGGTAAGCAACATATCACCTTTTCGATATCTGTTTTCATTGTTTGCGCGACTAAGTTCAAAACCACTACAGACAAAGTGTCCAATGATAAAAAGGAGGAAGCACATGCGACATTCCAGTCCATTGCCTTTGCATACGCTGTCCTATCCGACCCGACCCGACGCACGCGCTACGACGAGACAGGCTCAACCAGCGAGTCCATTGTTGATGCGGACGGCTTCAGCTGGTCTGACTTCTACCGTGAACAATTTCGCGACGCAATCTCAAGCGATGCGATCGCAAAGTTCGAGGCGCAGTACAAGGGCTCAGATGAAGAGAAGGACGATATCCTTGTTGCCTACGAAGAGCACGAGGGCGATATGGATGCGATCTACGAACATGTGATGCTTAGTAATGTGCTGAAAGACGACGAGCGCTTTCGCAGTATCATTGATGAGGCCATCGCCAGCAAGGACGTTCCTGCATTCAAAGCATATACGAAAGAAAGCAAGAAGTCAAAACAGGCACGTATCAAGGCAGCCAAGGACGAGGCGAATGAGGCAGAAGAGTACGCGAAGGAGCTAGGTGTGCATGACAAGCTCTTCGAGAAGAAGGGCGAGAAGGACAAGAAGGGCAAGAAGAAAGGAGACGAAGATGCCCTAGCGGCTCTTATCCAACGGAGAGGACAGGATCGCAAACAGGCCGCTGACCACTTTCTCGATAATCTCGCCGCCAAATACGGTGCCACATCTTCGAGCGCGAAGAAGGGCAGGAAACGCCGCGCAGAGGCGGCTGACGAACCATCGGAGGAAGCATTCCAAGCTGCAGCTGCAAAACTTAAGAAATCCAAGAAGTGATTGGAGGCCGGTATTTGTCGACAGTGGCGGAAAGTGGTAACTATAAAATCATGCGGCGTTCCTCGGTTGATCACAGGCTCGGAGTTCAGAGTTGATTTGGTTGAGGGCTGTAATGAAATAGGAACACGTTCGACACCTACATAACGAAATATGAGACTACGACAATTTCAATTACTCTCCAGTCTTCCTCAAGTCTTTCGGATATTGGATTTGGTTGCCTGGGTACAATATATTGGGGGGTAGACAGTAGTGATGATCTAGGCTTGCGACACAGCTGCTGTGGGGTTGCCCATGCAGCTTAAACAACCATTCTAATCATCAGATTGAGCCGCGTCAGTCGCGTCCAGTTACCACGCTCATTTGTCCTGGCTTGTTTAAAACACCATCATCCATCGCCCTTTGTTCGCATCCATTTCTGTTGTAGGATTGATGTCTGCAACATGCGATGACAGGAGTCGCACCGCTGGTCTACTACCCCCAGTATTGTTTTCACTTGTCGCCTACCATTAACAAATGGTGCCCGCTACGTGCCGTTGACATTGCGAACCTCGAGTGCCGGCCTGGCTTTCAGGGTCAGTATCACTCCGTGTCTTTCATTAACATCGACAATCAAGTCTAGGTCTAATGCAAACTGTGCCATAGATATCGATGTATTCTTTACCCTGAACCACCCCGTGCGATGGGTCCGGATCACAGGAGTCGTTGTCGCGATCGACGACTACTACGGTCGCCGCGTCTACACGATTGACGATAGCACGGGACACTGCATCGAATGCACTCTTGCGGTACCGAAACCATCCAAGATCACCGATCTAGACGAGTTGACTGCTCGAAATGCGCATCTACACGAGAGGCCTGGCCGCCCAGCCGATGTCACCAAGACAACCACAACAGCCGAAACACAGAACAGCGCGAAAGGTTGCACTCTTCCGCCCCCTCCATCGAATGTGGATATTGGGTCCGTAGTAGATGTCAAGGGCAGCATCCAGCTCTTCCGATCCCAGAAGCAGATCAAGGTCCAAAAGCTAGTGCGAATACATTCTACCGACCAAGAAGTCTTATTCTGGGACAAGATACGAGCATTTCGACGCGATGTCCTAAGCGAGCCGTGGATTTTGAGCGACAGAGAAGTGCGCAAATGTAGAAAGCTGCAGCAAGTTGAGGTTACAGATGCTAAGGAGAAGAGGAAGAAGGACAGGAGAACTGATGAAAAACGAGGGGTTGACTCGCTCGCTATCCGAAGTAGAGAGAAGCATCAGGTTCACCACCACAGTAAGGATAGCCTCGGCGCAGCCTCGAAGGCCATGAAAGCAGAGCGCGCTGCGAAGGTGCAGAAGTTGAGGGCCAGGAAAGACGAGCAGGGTCAATACAACGCACTGGGTCTCTGAAGTATGGATTTCTTCCACGTCACGGCCAATCATCCCCGCTACGGTATCGTCTATACGATAATTGCTCGGCTTATACAAACCAGGTGTCTACCCATATCTGACTCTGCATCGACTGCACGACGTCACAATACATCAAGACATCTGCTGTGTCTTAGCTTTCAAAGCCCCTCAGAGATGATACTTTGGTGATCCAGCAGCATGGCTATTGTAAGAGAGCAATGGAGTTATGGAATTGGCGTGAACCTGCATTGTGAAAACAGGTTGTAAGACGAGCCTCGTCTCTCAGCCGACCAAAATTGAACATGTTCTCGAAAGCCCGCATCCCGCCCTCGACTTGTCTTAGCTCTGGTGTTTGAGTTTAGGGGAGTCACGCTACACATTACACCCTTCCCCCGTGCTGGTACAGATTGGAAACATGCAGCATCCATCAGGTGGGCTCTGCCCAAGATCTCGCAGCTTCGGGCGGTCAGCATCATGGAAGTCTCAGTCTGAGACTGTCCGACAACCTGAAGTGGCAAGCACGAATGTCGCACAAGTTCGAGCTGAGGCTCAGAACGACCTTGCGTGTAACGGACTGTGGAAGCATCAGGTAATCTCAGACATGCCTCTGTCCAACTGAAATAGACTTGTTTTCGGCCTCATAACCACCAACAAGTTCTCGTGATCTCGCAATGAGTGCTCCGTCCTACATACCTAGTCTCCGTTCGTGTCAGGTTTTTGGAATTGTCACTGACCATATCCGATTTCTTTCGTGATTCTACCTACGCTCTCTTAAGCCGAGACCAATATCCGTCATTCCAGTGTAGCCCAGCCGAGCTCACATGGCCCATCGCTGCTAGATCTAGGTAGGCAACTCTCCCGTTCTATGCAAGACACTCCATTCCATCTGGGCTCAGCGCCTCCCAAACTCAAAATGTGGTCACGGCACTTCGAACATCCTGCAGCCGACGTCGTCGCCCAGTGTACGGCGTTCATTCCTGTCAGATTAGGTGTTATCATTCTTCATGATGGAGCCGGCTCAGTACAAATGTCATACGATCATGAGACTTGTCTGTCCATGCAACTTTACCATTTGTACTACTCTTTTTATTGACGATCTAACGACACTTATTCACCATACGACTACTATATTCATGGAATTCTGACGTCTCACGAACCTCTCAACACTTGGTGCCGACCACCAGCATCGAGTCACGAAATATATACATATTTAGAAACTATCGATTTGATCCCTTCCCCTCTTGTTCATTGATTATAAGATGTCTCGATTGTGGATACTAACTCTGATACAGATCTTACCCGTTTGTACGATACCCATCGAGCCTTGGATAGACAAACGAACAACAGCAGCTTGCTCAGAAGGGGTAATAGCATCCCAAGATCCATTTCGCGAGCCATATTCGCCCAAAACAGTAGTAGCGGACCCATACCGCGAAGGCTACCAGCCTGTCGGTGTTATTACCGTATCAGTGACAT